TGATTTAGATGAACATAACACAAAATAAATTACTGATGGATTAAGGAATAAAATATGTTTAAAACAAACCAAGAAAACCCAGAAGCAAAAGGAGTTGAATATTTATTAAACCTCTAAAAGGAGATTTTCTAGGTGAAGAAAGAAGCGATTGAATGAATCATAAAGAAAAAAATTAAAAGATCCTATAAAAAGTTAAGTGAAAAAGTCCACATAACCAAAATAAAAATACAAATAAAGCACATGGGAAAAGCATGCTTGCAGCAAAACTGACAAATAGTTAATATCTGTTCTAGAAAGAGCTCATCCAAAATACTAAGAAAAGCAATAGAATGCTAAAGATAAATGGACAAAAAAAACCCCCAAAACCAAGCAATATACTAAAGAAAAATTCACTCAGCATATCCAAGTGTGAACAAATGCTATAAGAAGGAAGTAAGGGACTTAATACTGCATGCCTACTCACCATGGCGCTCTGCCAGGGACTTTCTATACCTTTATCTCCTTTAATTCATTCATTCATTTTGAAAAGCAACTCTGCAACTTTAGAGTATCATAAAATTTGAGGGTGAGCATGGTGGCTCATACCTGTAATCCGAGTCCTTTGGGAGGCCAAGTGAGGAGGATCACTCAAGGTCAAGAGTTCGAGACTAACCTGGGCAACATAGTGAGACTCTATCTCTAAAAAAAAAAAAGTATTATAAAATGTGTGTTCTGGAAGTATTGTTAGAAAACATGTAGTCAGAATAGTTATTTATTTTATTTTATTTTATTTTTTTAGTTGGAGTCTCCCTCTTGTTGCACAGGCTGGAGTGCAGTGGCACGCTCATGGCCACTGCAGCCTCAACCGGCTGAGCTTAGGCAATTCTTCCACCTCAGCCCTCCAAGTAGCTGGAACTACAGGTGCATGCCACTACACCCGGCTAGTTTTTGTGATTTATTGTAGAGATGAGGTCTCACCAAGTTGCCCAGCCTGGTTCTTTATTTTAATGTCTCTTATTTTAATCAGTAGTTAATACATTCATATGGTTAAAAATTTAAGGATTATGAGAGGAATACAGTGAGAAGTCTTCGTCTTGCGTCACCCCTCTATTTCTGTCCTCCAGAGCAACCACTGTTAGCTTCTTGCGTATGCCTCCAGAAGCATTCTATGTGTCTGCCGGCAGAACAGCTCCTGAAACACATACATACACATACACGCACACATCAGCATTCTTTTTTGTTTGTTTGTTTGGGGTTTTGTTTTGTTTTGTTTGAATTGGAATCTCACTCTGTCATCCAGGCTGGAGTGCAGTGGCACTCTCATGGCCACCACAGCCTCGACCTGCTGGGCTCAGGTGATCTTTCTGCCTCAACCTTCCAAGTAGTTGGAACTACAAGCATGCGCACTACACTTGGCTAATTTTTTGAATATTATAGGGATGAGCTCTCACCAGGTTGCTCGGGCTAGTCTCCAACTCGTGTGAACCACTGTGCCTGGCTTTTTTTTTTTTTAGATTAAAAAATACAGTTTATCTAGAAAGTAAATTAGAGAGAAAAAGAGGAGATTCACCTCCCCAAGGTAGGGAGGGGGCCAAAGCTTAAGAAAACATGGCCTGACCATAGCTCAGAGAGCACATGGCCACACCATAGCTTAGAAAGGCAATGGCCACAATGGCAATGGTGGTGGTAATAGCCCACATCAGCATTCTGTATCAACTATTCTATACCTTGCTTTTTACATGTATCTGTACATTAATGCACATATTATTAGTACATTAAAATTTTTTTTTGCAGTTGCACAGTAATCCATTGTCTGAGTATATCATAATTTAGTTTACCAACCTCTTCTGATGGACATTTAGTTCATTTCCTGGATTTGACATTTACAAACCATGTCACAGTGTACAATATACTTTGCACAATATAACTTTCCTTGTACAATACAATGTTGACAAATATGACTGTATCAGCAGAGTAAATCCTAGAGGTAGAATTGCTGTGTCCAAGGGTATATGCATTGCAATTTATTAGCTACTCCTTAATTGCCCTCCACAGAATTGTGCCAATTTCTACTCCCACCAACTGTGTATGACTGTGTGGAAGTGACGTTTTCCCCTCACTTTTACCAATAGACTGAGTTATCACATTTTCTTTTGCGGGGTTCTCACTCTGTCACCCAGTTGGGGTCTCATTTTGCAGTGGCATGATCATGGCTCACTGCAGCCTCAAACTCCTAGACTCAAGCTATCCTCCTGTCTCAGCCTTCCGAGTAGCTGGACTGCAGGCACATGGCATGACACCTGGCTAATTTTTTTATTTTTAGTAGAGACAAGGTCTCCCTATGTTGCTAGACTGGTCTCAAACTCCTAGGCTCAAGCAATCCTCCTGCCTTAGCCTCCCAAAGTGCTGGGATTACAGACGTGAGCCACTGTGCCTGACCTGAAGAATGTTTCTTTAATAGAGGTTTTTTTCCACCTCTTTTTGTGAGTGATGCTAAGAATCTTTTCTTTTCTTTTTTTTTTTTACAATATTTATTTATTTAGAGTCAGAGTCTCACTCCATCGCCCAGGCTAGAGTGCAGTGGCATGCTCACAGCCACTGCAGACTCAACCTGCTGGGATCAGGCAATCCTTCTGCCTCAGCCTTCCAAGTAGCTGGAACCACAGGCGTCCACCACCACATCTGGTTAATTTTTATTATTTATTGTAGCGATGAGGTCTCACCATGTTGTCCAGGCTTTTCTCAAACCAGTGAGGCTCAGGCAATCCTCTTGCCTCGACCTCCCAAAGTGCCGGTATTATAGGCTTGAGCCACCACACGCAGCCCTACAATATTTATTTTTTTTATTTTTATTTTTTTTTTTTGAGTTGGAGTCTCACTCTGTCACCCAGACTGGA